CTCCTCCTGTATACCTGGGGGCTGGGTGACTGTCCTGCAGCTGTATGCTCCTCCTGTATACCTGGGGGCTGGGTGACTGCCCCTACAGCTGTATGCTCCTCCTGTATACCTGGGGTGGGGAGGCCCAGGCTTCCCATTAGCACTCAGCCCCAGACCAGTGCAGAAAGAAGCCTCTACTGAGCACAGTGGGGCAGACCTCTGTCCAAGGTACTGAAGGTCTGAGTCGTCCCTGTTTGCCAAATCTGGGAGTCAGCCCTGACTACCACATCACCCTTGGATCTGAAGAGAAACTGTGAACTGTGTGTGGCCTGCAGTGAAAACCTGGTAACAGAGGCCCTTCATGTGAATTCTGTGAGTGCTGGCTGAGTTTGTACTCACCTGGATGCGGTCAGGCACCCCAGTGCTGTCCATACGGCTGGCCACATTTACTGTATTGCCCCAGATGTCATACTGAGGCTTGCGAGCCCCAATGACCCCAGCCACTACGGGTCCAATGTTGAGCCCTGTGTAGACAGAAATCAGCCATACTCATCAGCTTAAGTCCCACATATACCTTGTTTGCCGTTGCTAGGATCCATCTCCTGGCACACGCAGGTGCTCCTGACCCCTGCTGGCCTGAGGCCAAGCTTAATCCCTTAGTCTTGCACTTCTCTGCACAATCCACTCTTGTTAGCTCAAGAAAACAGGGATCTGTGCACAATCCACTGGTACTGTGTGTGTCCTTACCTCAACCCTTGCAAGTCCATTGCCATGTGTGCCCTCTTCAGGGCCCAGCATAGCCCAATACCTTCTCTCTCTTTTGGTTTTGTTTTTTTGAAACAGAGTTTCTCTGTGTAGCTTTGGTGCCTTTCCTGATTTGAACTCAGAGATCTTCCTAACTCTGCCTCCCGAGTGCTGGGATTAAAGGCATGCGCCACCACCGCCCAGTTTCCAACACCTTCTCTTTTTAAACATACTACATTCGTGTGTCTGAGTGTATGGCACATGCATGTGAGGATGCCTTCAGAGGCTAAACGAGGGCATCTCAATGCCCTGGAGCTGGAGTTAAGGGTGGTTCATTGGACTTGGGTTCATTGGACTTGGGAACCAAAGCTGAGTGCTTTGGAAGTGCTCTCTAACCACTGAGCAATCTCTCCAGCTGCCCAATGCCTTTTCTTAACCTTCCCTCTTGACATATTTTCAGCACCAACTCAAAGAACACAGCAAACTCACTCCTTCCCTCCTAAACCACCGCTGTTCTGGAGACCTTGCTCCTAGCCCTGTCCTGTCCTGCCTCTCTTCAAGTCCCATCATGCCGCATGCGGCTTTCTAACCCCATATGCTGTTTCTATGCTAGTTTGACCACCTTGCTGACCACACTGGACTCACTGGCATGGCCGTCCAAGTCTGCTTAGCTGCCTGCTGGGAGAGTCTGTCATTCCATCCCCAGTCCAGTTGCTGAGACAATTTACAAGACTACACACCAGGAAAATACAAAGAGCTCAAGGAGGACGGGATGAGTGGAGCTACATTACATGAAACCAAGGACAGTTAACACAGACATGGGCTGTGTGTAGGCTACAGCAGAGGCCTGGCCCTCAGCAGCCAGGTTCAATCCACAAAGCACTGTGCCCAGAAGGCAAAGTAAGCAGCCTGTCAGGGATAGCCCAATTCCCGACACTTGGGCCAAAACAAAATATCTCCTGGGGACATTAATGATCACAATATTGGTTTTTAGTGATGCAATATTTCAGTTTAATGTGCTAATTTTGAGAATTGAAATGCCAGTATTTTGTGAATTACTGTTACTTAAAAAAATTGACATCTGAATCATTTATGACTTGAGACATACTCAGGGAGTTGATAATGCATGAAACTTTTGACCAGAACAAAGATCTGCTCTTTAGAAAGCTTTCCGCCGCTACAAATCTCAAGAGAAGGAAGGCCTGCCTGCCTAAGTTCTCTTTGCAAGATGAACTGCTGCTGTGCCTTCCACAAGTGGCATGCTCAGAGCTGCAGTTCTGGGAGCATTTTGTGCATGGAGCAGGGGGCCTGTGTGAGTGCAAAGATGGGTGTGGGTTTTCTCTGCACTGTTGACACTTGGATAAAATGGTTGGGACCGATGATAGGGCTTAGCCAGGAACGGGGCTTTCCACCACACCTGCCCACCTGAGTCCCATCTCCCGGACCTGCATGGCAGAAGGAGAGAACTGATTCCTGAAAGTTGTTCTCTCACCTCCACACACACACACACAACAAGTAAGTGAGCTCCCTTAAAGCCATCCCACAGACATTTGCTGAAGAGGGAACCCAAAGGTATAACTCAGGAGAGCATTTGTCTGAAAAATGTGAGGCCCTGGGTTTCATCCTCAGTACTGGAAACCAACACAGGGTTGCAGTCAAGTCAAGACACACAAGCTTAACACATCACAGCCTCCCTAGTGCCTGCCCCAGCCTCTGTGGGCTACACAGCGTTCAGAGTAGCGGCTTGGCTCACGCCGAGAGCTCAACAGTAACCTACCCACTCGGTTTAAGAGTCTCTCTCTGGCTGCTCTTCCAGAGAACGGGAGTTCAATTCCCAGTACCCACTTGGCAGTTCACAGCCATTTGTGATTTCAGTTCCAGGGGATCTGACACCCTCTTCTGGATTCTGCAGGCACCAGGCATGCACTTGGTACACAAGAGATACTTAAGACTATGCTGCTTTAAAAGGCTAAAATGTGCCAGAGATGGAAGCTCACATCTATAATCCCAGCACTTGGGAGGCTGAGGTAGGAAGGCTGCCGAGAGTTCCTGTCTTAAAATGCCAGAAAAAAGCTGAAATAAAACCATGTTGTCAGTATTAGCTGATTATTTTCATAAAGTATTCCACTTTTGATAGCACAGTATATGTTCAATATGTTTATAAATTTGCAGTATGCAAATAACATGCACATTTTGTATTGAACATGCAGTGAGTATTTGGCTCGACTGCTTTTCATTGTTTACTAAGTCTGGCGTAAGACTGGCCGCCTGCCATTAGACAGACATGGATACGTGATGAGCACGAGAGCGCCCACCAAGTGCCCCACGCCCTACCCCCCTCACCGATCTTCATCTGGAAGTTGTTGAAGGAGTGCTCATTGATGTACTTCATCTGATCCATCAGCCTCATGGCGAAGTCCGCCAGAGCCTTGATGTGCGTCTTGCCGGCCTTGTCATACGTGGAGTCGTTGAGGCCCGAGGCAGCCATGTAGGTGCTACCTATGGTCTTGATCTTCTCCAGCTGCCTGAACCGATCCTCACTGATGATCTAAACAGAAGGGGTGCAGGCCTGAGTCATTCTCCCATGCTGGGGCATGGGGGTTCACAGGAAGGAGGGGGAGGTGGGAGGAGCCACGGAAGCCTGGTTTTACGAGTCCCCTCCTTATCCAGCCAGGGCATCAATTCAGAGGGAGGGACCTGAGGCTCCATGGCAGATCTGGGCCTCCTCCACACTGCTCCGCTAGACAGGACCTATGGCCTACCTATCTATACCCACACCAAGAGCCCTGGAGGACAAGGCTACTAATCACTACCAGGTCTCATGCCCTTGACAAGGGAGTCTCATGCGCCCCTTACCCATGGAAATCTCCCCAACTTTATCTAGTGAGTCACTTTTTCTGTTCCCAGGCTGCTGGAAGCCTCACAGACACCTTCACCTAATCACTTGAATGCCCTGGGGCAGCAGACCTTCAAGTGCTGCATATTCATCCCCCTGGATTGTCCCCTACTCCTGACATGACAGAGGCCTCCCTGTTGGCCTGTAGATACTGGGTGCTCAGCAAGGGTTTAAATGAAGCAATGGCTTGTTGTCCTGCCTGTCTCCTTCCTTTGCCCAGACCCCTCCTGCTCTCAAAGCCCTTGAAATATACTGGGCCATCTCTGCCTTGGGGCCACACTGGCTCAAGTTCAAGGAGAGGGGCCGAAACCCCGGCTCCCACACGTCAACACGGTGACCGTAGGCAGGACAACTTAAGGTGTGAAGTCTCAGTTGTCTCATTGTAATTTGTGCCAGGAGCCATGACGGCACCTGGGACACAGCCAGGCCCCTGCCTTCAGAGCCTCTGCCAGATGGAGAAAGGGGACAGCAGGGACGTGTCGGGGGGACCCCGGGAGCACCTCATCAAAGTCCGCGATGATCTCATTGAGCAGCCGCAGGCACTCGACACCCTCGTTGTTGGCCTCCAGCTCCACGTAGAATTCAGAGAAGTTGGCAATGGAGGCGAACATGACAGCCACACACTCGCAGGACTGGTAGTAGAGTTCATCGTTGCGGCGCTCGCGGGCCAGGAAGTGGGCAGCCACGTCCTTGGGCAGAATGTTGTGCAGCAGGCGCCGGTTGTAGGCCTGAAGCTCCTCCATCTCCTCCTTCTCCTCGGTGGCCTGGGGACAGAGGACCCAGTGAGCGGGGACAGAAACGGCTCTACCCATGCTCAGGGTACCCACACGCAAGCGCCAGCTGCCTCCCCTCACAGCAGTCTCTGCTTCCTTGGGTTCTCCGAGCGGCGTGCCTGACCATGAGAAGAGACAGGGAGGAGCGGCCGATGGTCCACCGCCTCTGGCAAACAAAACACGTGGAGGAGAGGGGCAGAGAGGAAGCCCACGTCTTTCCCAAGACCGGAACCGGCAGCCGAGAGCAGAGATCCAAATCCACACAGCCCCCCGACCACGCTCTAACCCTGCATTTTCTCAAGATGAGGAAATGCAATCAGAAAAGCAGCTTGCTAGAACAACTCTACCGGACTGGTCCCTCAGGAACCTGGCCCAGGTCCTGCCCATATCTGCTTCCCGTTAGAGGAGCCCTGTTTTGGAGCCAGCCAAGGCCAGCAGGCCAGGGGGAGTGGTGTCAGTTAGGGTGGGGAGGGGACGTCACCTCACTGACTTTGGTTCCCCCAGTGTGGGGCCTGGGTCTGCACAGATGGAGTTTGTGGCCACTCATCTCCCAGTGCAGAGGAAGGTAATGCCGGCCCATGTGAGGCTGAAGTAGGGGGGCAGTTACACAGAGAGAGAGAGAGGGGTGTGGTAAGGAGCCACCTGACCAGAGTGGCAATACGGATTACAGAGTGCAGTCAGCTGTATCCCCCACCCTTGATGGCAGACAAAATGGTCCCCTTCCTGGGAGTGGCTGTGTGGGCTGGCAGGCAGAGAAAGTATCGATGTCAGGGATGTTTAAAAGACCCACCCAGTGTATCTGGGCTTTCCAATACAAAAAGACATTTCAGTGCAACTAGATTCTCCAGCCGGGCCACGGCTGTATCTCTGGGTCCTGGTCTTCCCTGTGGACAGTGGCTGTTCAAGAGAAGGATCTAGAACCCCTTCCCAAGGCTACGACCAGAGGGCATGGAGAGTCAGTCCCAAAGCAGAAGGCCTGA